GGGATTTACCATGGCTGAGAGCCTGGCTGCATCAAGCGTATAACGAGGGCAAAAGAATGACAATGCACTACGAGAGAAGAAAGGTGAACTCCAGATGGGCTTGAGATGTGGAATTGGGTCACCTCACTTCAAAAGCAGGAACGGCTTTAAAACCGTTCTCAGGCATGAGTTAATTCACAAGAAAACCATGTTCAATATCTAGTTGGTTGGCAGCGAGGAGGAGATGACAAAGGGGAGCTGCTAAGAAAAGACAGTGTTAGCACTGTCAGACATGAGAGTAAAGTAACTGGCTAGTGGCCACCTACTATAAGGGCATCGTTATGCTTCTAAGGCATTGTGGATGGCATCCTTCAGGCAAGCAGCAGCTGAGGATATTTTGCAGATGGGGAAATACAACGGGAGGGAGAGGTGCAGGACAATGGCGGGGGCTCGGATCTGCGATGGGCTGTGCTCCATGAAGAAATGCAAGGGGGAGAAGCTCCTCCATCAGCAGGGGAAGGAGCAGGGTGAGAAGAGGAAAGAAGCAGGTCTAGAAGACGGGGCCGAACCCACGGCAGGTTTAGCAATGAACGGTGTCCCTGCCTCCGTTTGTCTTTATGCTTTCTTGCCTCTGCATATTTAAACAACGGCTCCTTGCGAAACGGACCGTTTGGGTCTGTGCGACTATGCGATACAAAGCATAAATAATAAATGCCCTCGCACTGCTGTGTTCAGAAGCAGCATGATTTACCGTGAGTGGTTATTTGAAGGATGAGCGTGAGTGCGGCATTAGCATGCCAAGCTCAAGGAGATATTAAGTGCAAACCCTTGGCCAAGAAAAGATTTAGACTTCCTTTTGGATTTGATTCTCTCTGTTGCTAGAGAGAGTTCGGGTAACTGCAGGGTTAACTGAAAACCCAGGATTTTCCCCCTTCTGGACAGCTGAGTTCAAATCCCATATATTGGTCATGAGGGCAAACGACACTGATGGGAACTGCTGAACGCCGTGTCCGGCAGCTCTGTGCTGAGGACAGACCAGATGCTGGAATATCGTGGGGTACCATGGTGGGGGGCGTGCTGGGAGAGGATGGTGGGTGCTGCTAGAGTAGCAGGGGCTGGTGCAGGTTGGGATTAACCAACCCCCACCTGCACCCCACTTGCTCCAAACTCTGTGTTACCTGCTCCTTAGTTTTAACCACCAAGCCAGATGACTCTGAACACAAGCAGATGGGTCCCTTCCTCCCCATAAAACCCTTCTGATTTAAGCTGCCCTGGTTTAGTTTGTTGTGTAGGTGAGGCTACAAACTTCTGCCCCCCATCATGAAATAAAGGGCAGCGAGGTTTAACCCCTTTACATCATCCTGTATTGAGCCAGAGGATTCAAAACTCCATCTCCAGCAGGCTCAGCTTTTATCTCTGAACCCTTCGCTCCTGTCGTCCCCTTGCTGCTTCTGCCATCACGCTGGCCCTTAAAAGACATCCCAAAGCAAAATGTCCAGACTGCTGCCAGATGGACATCTCCCTTTAGACCCCTGGTGTCCTGTATTTCTGACACAGCTGCAGTGATTCTCCTCCTTGCCTCCAAATGAGGCAAGACTCTGCTCCTAATGTCGAACCACAGCCTCTTACCCCAGCTGCTGACTGCCTGCTCTCTTACAGTTGCTGTTATTCAAAGGGAGACTTGATGCATTTTGAGTCAGTGGCTAATGTGATTAAAATATGGATGATCACTGGTTTGCTAAGCCGCCGTTCAGGCTGGTTAGCTATGTTGTGCTCTTGGGGGGCTGTTTAACAGCAATGCTGGTCTTGCCTGTGTGATGGGTCCTGGCCATAGCATTCACGTAGCGCAGGCTACGCCAGTTGAGAGTTCAGGGGAGCTGAGAAAAGGAGGCAGGCAAAGGTGGCTACAAGCCATCTTTCCACCTCCCGTAATCTTTAGAGGCCAATCAAGCTAGAGCTGTTTCAGGGCTGCTCGAATTACCTTCTGCTTTACAAGGCCTCGGAAGAGACGTTATGCCAGATTCAGGCAACTTAAAAGGACCCACCATGGGACTTTTAGCCCAAGCCTTTGTAGGGCAGTAACACAGCTTGCTTTTGTCCATGCAACACAGCAAACCGTGCTGTGTAGGTTGGCCCAACACCTTGAATCATGTCAAATATCCAGGGTCCTTACTGAACAAACCCAACCAAAGCCTAAGTGGCACAGTGAAATGCCCACGGCTGCTCTCCAGAACACCCTCACTTTTTCCTGGTGTAGCTTTGATGGGGCAACATAACACAGGGCATACAATTTTCACCTGCTGTTAGATGCACAGTGTCAAAATGCAATCCCCAAGAGAGTCCAAACCCCAACAAAGGATGGCTGCGAGGCAACAATTCCCTTGCCCTTCTCTTGTATTTGTCACCAGGATCAATTATCCCCTCAATCTGTGCCTCAGTTCACTTACTCCACAGTGTCTATTATTCTGATTCATTGTCCATGGTATGTCAAACCGAGCACCACTGTCCAAACTGCAAGCCTTTACTCCAGACCGTGAGATGGAGTCCAGACTGCTAGGGACATCTGTTTCTTTTCCTTTCCTAACTAGCCCTGAATTAAGACATTAGACTGAAGTGTGAGCCTCCTTCAAATTCAGTTCCAGTGCACTGGAGATCCCTCTCTTTCAATATTGCCATAAAGTCTGATTAATTAAACGGATGACAGAGCTACGGCTTGGGGGAGAGGGCGAGGAACTGATGACTCTTGTACTTCCGAAGAAAAAGCAAGCTGTTTTGGGGTTTCAGGAGGATAACACGGGGCGCTCCATTCAACCCAGCCACCACTGTTTGGACCTTTCTCAGGAAGTTCTCCAGTCCCAAAAGGTTTATGCTAAAGGATGAGAAGACAAGGTGGATTCCCTCCTTGATTAATATTTTTATTAAATAACCTATTTCAAGTAATAGTTAAATTCTCTAAATTTATATCATTCTATTAACCATAATCTAATCTCATTAACCTTGAAATCCCCAGTCTTAACTACCCAACTCTATACATTATGGCGCTATCAGCTAAACTAATTAAATGACCTTCAAACTATTTCTCCTTCATTTATTGCCGTTATTTATCCTTGCTCGTTGTTCTTCCTTGCAGCCCCTGCAAAACTCGCTCCCTCTAAATTCAGGTCCTGTCTGTACTCTTCGCAGAAGACCATCTTTCTTCTTAACCCAATCCACTGGCCCCATCTGCACAGTTCACCCCTGGGTGCTGCGGCCTCCTGGCAGCAATGGTTCATGCCCTCGTTCTTTTACTTTCATTCCAAGGATCTGATGATTCTTGGCTTGTCGCATTCTCATTTACATGCCTACCTACCTCTCTCTATTTTTCTGTGGCTAAGCTCTGGATTTTCTGAGAGGTTCTTACAGCAGAGGAAGCGGACTGAAAGTACAGTTTGCCTTGGAGCAGTGTTGGGAAAAGGTGGCATGTTCCTGTTCTCTTTTTTTAATCCTGGCCTTTAAACAAGTTATTGTTCAAGGATGTTATGCTCTTTGCTTTCGAAGCCCAGAGGCTAATCCTGGATAAATGATCTCTTCCTATGCTAACGGTGAGAGAAAATTCTCGCCATAGTTTTGCCACGGCCCGAAATGTCTCTGATCAGAAAGTTCCCTGGCCGAGAAAAGAGCTCGGCTGGCTGGGATGCAGGCTGGATTGCTGGGAAACTGAAATGCTTGGGTTCATTTGCAATGGGAGTGGTTATCTGCTCAAGGAGCTACAAGCAGTTTCTGCTTTGCCAGCCCCTGCCGGACAAACACTGCTGTAATAAACCACCATCTTTTAGGGTAAGAGCAGATGGGGGTGACGAAGTGGAATGCTATTTAACTTTGATGATGGTGATGAACAAAACGCCTCAGTCTGCAGATACTTAATGCCTTGGCTGCTGTCCTCTGCTATCTGGGAAGAAGCATGGGAGTAGATTTTACTTTGAGGCTAGATTGCGTTAGACGGGGGCGTTTGCTGTGTTAGTTAGATACAGATGCATTGCTTGTGAACTGGAAAGCCTGAGAAACAGCACACAATGCGGAAGCAGGCAGGCAATTCTGGATTGGATTGGGAGGGAAACATTTCTCAACTGAGGCTTCAAGATGAAACTTCTAATTTTGGAGCACTTTGTCCTCTCCCCTCCTCGTCCATTCCTTGGCTGTTATTTCCCAGATGAGGGGGTAGGGAGGGAGTGTGCGTGGAGAAGGGAAGACTGACTCGGAGCAGTATAAAGTGGGTATAAGCCAGGGGAGTGGGAGGAGGTGACCAAAGATCCATTTAAACATCTGAAATACAAGCCCACGTTCCTTTTTTGTGCCTTGCTCCTTCAAGAGTAGCTCATGCTTGAATAACAGGCATTGAAAGGCAAAAAATCATCACCCTGCCTATAGTGATAGCATGATGTTATGTTGTCCTGGAACAGCACCGCTTCACAATAAAGATTTCAGGCCTGCAATGTTTCACTAGGTTGGTTGCAAAGGTGGTTGAATTTCTGACTTAGCCGAACAAACCCCAGCCCTCAGAAGGGCACTGTCTAGTCTATGCCGCGGAAACAAGCTTTGACCGAACGTTAGATGAAGACCAGTATTTTCCTGAGTCTGTTTCTTTTGGCTCCATCAGGAAGGTTGTGTTCTGTTGGGGGCAAGCATCCTCCAGAGCGCTTGGGTCATGACACTGCATGGATTTTGCTAAGGCACAAAGCCTCGAGAGTGCAACTGAATTGGCACAGGTCCTGTTTGCAGTACAAGCTACTGTGTGGCAGGACCGGGGAGGTGGTTATAGCACCCAACTTGATTAAAAATGCAGTTCAGCCTTGATTCCTGAATGTGACACAGCCTTGTTGACAGTTTCAGCCATGTCGTGCTGTTTTTACCTGCGTGGTACCTGCCACCTGGTAGCTCTTGCACTGTAGACTGGGCCACAGAAACCACCTGGGTTCTCTTCAATAACCCCCTACAAACAGACCGTAAGGCACAATGGAAGATCCAGCCCACCGTCCCCTCACCTGCACTCCCTCCCCTGTGAGGGCCGAACACGATTGGATCTGCCAGACTCTGTCGCGGATTGTGTGCAGGTTCAGTCCCTCGGCGATCTCGGAAGCAGGGGCAGCCGTAAGCAAATCCTGCTTGTTAGCAAATATGAGCACAGGGACTCCACTGAGCTTTTCCTCATCCAAGAGCTCGGCCAGCTCCTGTATCATTTAAAAGGGAGTTAGGGGAAGGGAGGTGAAAAAAAAACCAAACCCTTCCACCACCAGAGTTTGTCTCTAATTAGAATTATATTTAGGGCAAATGTTAGAAGGCAGCGTTTCAGCAAAGCCCAGATCTCCTTACCAAATAGCAAGAGTGTCTGCAATCACAGGGGCCTGAGGTCCACAAGCAAGTTCTTTCAATTACAGGTTACGAAAGGCTTCAGCTTAGTCTGAAATTAGCTGCTGGTTTACAGGCTAAAACTCTGTGCTTTGCCAATCCCTGCTCCCTGGAGACCAAGACTGATGATGCAGCAAAAACCCCATGTAAATTGGCTGTCTCCAAGAGTCTGCCTGGAGTTAGTCTGACTCATGTCCTAGAAACCAGGTGGTTCTCACCCTAATAGATTTATGATGATGCTAGTAATGAGCTTTGGTTTTTGTCCCAAGTTTTCTGAACTGCAATTCAAATCAGGAAACCCTGCTTCAGATGTAAGAATCTCCCTTCCAAAAGGAAGCTGATACCTATTAAAGGAAGGGAATAGCTGCAGGCCAGACCGGGAGCGGTTTTATTGGCCAGACTGTAGTCCTACGTGCATGGCACAATGTTGCGTGGGATCTTGGGGCTGACTGGCTTGCAACTGAAAGCAGTCTGCTGTTCCTAGGGTGGGGTCTGGATGTACCGTGAATCCACAGCTATTAGACCTGAATGCCTGGAAGCTGGGCAACGGCTTAATCTGAACTCGGAGCAGGCAATCCCATTTCACCTCTTAACAAGCATCTGTCCTTGTGACCAAGCTAACACAGCTGGTGCACCATGCACAGCGGTCTTGATAAAGGAGTTGAAATCTGAAGGACTATGATGCAGGGTGTATCAAGCTTCTGGACCCTGGTGAATTGTTGGGGGGGGACCTACACAGAGGTATAATTTCCCTGAAGTACCTGTCTCATTGCTGGGGCTTTACTTTCCATGGATACTGGCCTAGCATCTTTTATGAACATGGAGTTACCGTGAAACCTTTGGGTTCAATGAATGCAGTAGCAGAGACCATGCTGCATCACAAATCAGATTCTAGCCCACAAAAGCAATCTGCTTGCTTGGTTTGGAAACCAGGGCAAAATAGAATCAAGATATAAATAGAGCTGGCTGGGAATTTTTTGACAAAATGTGTTTTTTTCTTTTCTGGCTGAAGAGGCTGATTCATCAAAACTGGAACTTTTTGTGGGGATGCATCAATTTGGCCAAACTGAGTGAGGGCATACACTGGGGGTAAGTGCACCCCATGTTTCAGTTCCTGGCCCGCTTGGCTTAGGCGAGTGCCCTCACTTTCCTGTGCTAGAACTAGTCTTCCTCTCTTTGGCCTGAGGAATAATTATTTATGTGAAGTGGAGCAGCTCCAACAGGAGAGACAGAGAGAGACTCCCCAGAGCAGCCAAGAGCCGGGTGGAGATGGGAGAGTCAGGTTCAAGCAGTTACTCTGAGCCAGGCACTTAAATCTAAGCCTACCACATCACAGAAAGACGCCTCAACCACTGGGATCTGGCTATTCTGGGCTGGGCAGTGGGTGAGGTTGGTCTGCCTGTCTCAAGCGATTCAGAGAGGCCTCGGCTGGGTTCTCGTTGGAACACAGACAAATTAGGAAACCTCAAAATTGTTCACACGCTGGAATTCATGTTTCCCAGCCAGCCTCACTTACAGAATCCTTGCCATTTTTTTTCAGTTGTGCTCCAGAGATGATCGAGTCAATGTGATTTCTTTTTAAACTTTTTAGAGAACAAAATGAGATTCCTTGAGGTCTTGTTCTGGCAAGGCTCAAAGGCCTTTAAGAGGTGTGGGTTTTCAAAATGTGCTTCCTTCTGTTCATATTCAATTAATATGAGGGAATAAGACTCCTTATTTCCCTTATTTCTCACCTACCAAAGTGATCTGTGCTTTGTGTACCAAAGCAAAGTAAGCTGAAGGGAGAGCCCCCCTGGAAATGTAAGTCTTTATCACAAACCACCAAAGCATCTTCCTAACTTGCATAAGGAACATAATATAACGTCAAAGGGTTGGACAGAGGTTACGTACCTGACCCGTTTCTTCAAACCTCTTTCTATCTGCGCTGTCAATGACATAGATCTGTAAAGATGCAGGGGAGGGTATTAATTTACAGAAGAGGAAGATTGATGTTGTAGCTGTGATGGTCCAGAAACGATGTGAGGGGCAAGGGTGGTGTTATTTAATTTATAGGAGTAGTATGGCTGGAAGAGCCCTCAAGAGATAATCTAGTCCGACCCCAACTGAAGGACTAAACCAACCTAGGCAAGTATTTGTCTAACCTGCTCTTAAATTTCCAAGGAAGGACACTCCACTACTTCTCTAGGTAATCTGTTCCAATGCTTAAGCACCCTCATAGTGATAAAAGTCTAACATCCAATCTGAATTTTCCTTGGAGCAATTTAAGACCATTGCTCCTTGTCCTGTCCTCTGTGGCCAGAGAAAACAGTCTATCACCCTCCTTTTTATAGCTATGCTTCAGGTATTTGAAGACTGTTATCAAACTCACTCCCCGTAGCCCATTCATTCTTCTCTTCTCCAGCATCAATAATCCTAGTTCTTTCAGCCTTCCCACATAAGTCATATTTCTCCAACCTCTAATCATATTTGCTGCTCTCTGCTAGACTTTGTCCACGTATTTTTGGAAGTGAGGTGCCCAAAACTGGACACAGTGCTGTAGGTAAGGTCTCGCCAGTGCCAAATAGTGCAGAAGAATCACTTTCCCTTGACTTGCAAGTGACATTTCTATTACTGCAGCGTAGTATGCTATTTATTTTGCAACAAGAATACACTGTTGGTTCACATTCAGCTTACAGTCCCCTATAACCTGCAGGTCATTTTCTGCAGTACTGCAACCTAGCCAGTCCTCCTTCCCCAGTCTGTATTTGTGCATGCGATTGTTCTTTGCACTTGTCCCTGTTGGATTTTATTTGATGAATTTTTGTAACTTTTTTGGGTTTACTGAGATCGTTCTGAATCCTAACCCTCTGGAGTGCCTGCAACTCCACCCAGCTTGGCGTCATCGTAAATTTGCCAAGTGTGCACCCAATCCTATCTTCCAAATCGTCAATGAAGATATATTAAACAGTACTATACCCAGGACAGGCCCTTAGGGAACTTTGTTTGATACCTCCTCCCAAGCAGACATTGAGCCATTGATGACTACTTGTACAGCACGATGACCCAACCAGTTAACATTCCCCTCACAGTAGTTTCATCTAGTCTGTATTTCCTTAGCTTACTAATGAGAAGACATCTGGAAAGCATTGAACTATACAGAGCTAGTCTATCAAATGAATCGAAACCAGTTCCAAACAACATTCCTTATGCTTAGAGATGCACACATTTCATGCACTGTGCAACCATCAGCTAATTCTCTCAACTGCTCAAAAAAGGAAGGGGAGCTGCATTACAGCTGGGGAGAACAGGCTGCGACATGCTAGTGTCAGAAAAGGAGCTGGTGGCAGGATCAGGATTCAGATCGTTTTCCAACTCTAAATTCAGCCCAGGAAAACATGCTGCCTCCTGGCAGCCAGGTCTCCACCTTCAGATGATCCACCACAACAAAGGGAGTGGCTGTCAGATGAAGGACTAACTGTCATGGGGGTTGCATGCCTTTCCAGGGTAGGGCAGGGCTGGGACACTTCAGCAAGGAACAGCAGAAGTGAAGTTTGCACTGCTACTGCCTGGGAGCATCTACGCATATGCATTTACTACCCAGTAACCGAAATTACTGTGCAGTATGGGCACGTGTCTACACATGCACACCCATACTGCACGTAAATATGGCGACATACGCTGATCTGAGCATAAATTTGATACCTGCATCATGCAAGTATCAAATTTATGCCCGATTAGTAACTGCACAGTAATGCACATGTACTTGTCTTACTGCACAGTAACCCTGTGGGTGTGGACTGACTTGTGACTAGCTTTAGTCTCAAATCAGTCCACACACGGTGTTAAAGCACTTTAATGCCTGCACGTGTAGACGCTGACCTATTCCCACTTACTGCACAGTAAATTTAAGCCAGCGTAAATGCACATGTGGAACTGCCCCCCTGTGTTGTACCTGTATTTTTGGACAAGGTTGGTCAATTCAGCACCTTTCTCTAGCACTGAATTTGCTGATTTCCTCCCTGGAAAAACTCAGAGCTTGGTACGGAAATCCCTGGGTGCAGGTGAAGCGGCAGTACCAGAGAAGGATGAAATTTGCTGGATATTCATTCAGTACAGACAGTTCCGCCCCTCCATCTGGACTGTGCCGTCTTTATTGCTAATGCACTTAAAGCTGCAGAATCATTTTAAATAATCAGGAGGGTTCAATAAAGGTGGAGCCTCTGGGTTTGCCTGCTGTATACTGCAGGAGGGATTGCGCTGATTCAAATCAATGTGATCCAATCATGGGCACACAAGAGAAAGCTGAAAGACTCACAGGTCTTGGGTAGGTAGGTAGGTAGGTGAATAAATGACGGCATGGACTGACGATAGGCATATCCCAGTGTAATTTATATGTTTTGTATGCACAACCCTGTAAATGATGCTGAGATCAGGTACAGAGGTGTGTGTGGTTATCCTGGGGTAGCAGCACATCATGGGCAGCTATTATGGTATCTTCTGCTTTTTGGCAAAGAAGCAAACAGCTTATCCTGGCATGGAAGTGGATACGCAACACCTACACCAATGTCACTGATATCAATGAACTTTTACCCTGGTCCCTTCAGGAGCAAAGCTCCCCTAGTTTAGGAGTTGATGCCATCTGCCCTCTCCATTTTTTAAACAGGTTGAATGCCACCAGTGTAAATGTGCTGTCTGTCCATACCCTGAAAGAAAGGGAAGCAGGGGAAAGGGCGTGTGGGCTGGCTGGCTGAGGAGACCTGCAGTGCTTCCCAATCAGTAATGACTAGAAATTGCTAGGATGTTATTTGACAGCTGTGCAGTGGCTTCCGTGGAAGGAGGCTGGTTTCCAGGGAATAGATGCCCACAGCACCCAACCAATGCCAAGATAAATGGCGTTCCTGCTGGCAGTCTCGGCAGGAGACTTGGCCCTTCCAGGCTAATTTAGACTGAGAACAGTGAAAAAAGGGAATTCTGAACAGCAGTGTTTATTAAAGGTTGGACCGGCCTTCTTGTGCAGACATCTTCTCTCGCCTGCAATGACTCAAACAGGGGACTGCAGCACCCAGGGGTGCCCTAACATGTAAGAACTGCCATTTACTGGGTCAGGCCATGGGTCCATCTTACCCAGCCTTTTGTGTCCCACAGTGGCAAAGAGTGGATGCTGAAAGGGAGAGTAACCTGGGTCTGACCACAGTTGTTTTCTCCACTGTTCCTCTCTCACTTGCTTCCTCCAGCATTTAAGGTTAAGTTTAAAGAGGCTGTATCCCTCCCTTCATGCTTGATCGCTACTGATGCCCCTTTCATCCAAGAATGTGTCCAATCCCTTGTGAATCTGGCTGAACACTCAGCTTCCACCACAGCTGGTGGCAATAAGCTCCGCCCTTGAATGCCACGCTGAGTGAAAAAGCACGTCCTGGTGTTGGTTTCAAACTTACTGCCTCCTACTTCCATGTTGTGACCCCCCATTTCTTGTCTGGTGAGAGAGAGTAAAGAATGAATCCCTACTGACTTTCTCTTCAACACTGAGTATTTTGCAAACCCTTCTCATGTTCCCCTTCAAGTGTCTCTTTGCTAAACTGACCATTGGACTCATCAGTCTCTCCTCATGTGGAAGCCCCTCCAGAGCCCTCATCATCCTTGCTGCCCTTCTCTGGACCTTCTCTAGTTCTTGAGATCCTTTTAAGGGTGCTGTGCAACGTAGCACTATTAGGTGTGCAAACCTGAGTCTCACAATAAACCAGCAAGATTGCAAATAGGAATCTCTAGCGTTAAAAACACTCTGTCCAGTTGTGGTCTTTCTGAGTTCTTTGTAGAACTGCTCTATGTATTATTTTTCTGTAGTCAAAAGCAAGTCAAAACTAAGAGCTGGCATTTTCTAAGGGATGGCTCGAGTCTAAAAGCTTGAGAACCACTGCTTTACTGCCTCAGGTTTCCAGGTCCTTCTGTGACACGGATGCTGCATGTTGGTAAGAGATGGTGTAAGCTGGGGTGGCCAATCCGTGGCACACGCGGCACGTGTGCAGCACATGACAGATCAGGGAAGGAGCACAAAAGCAGACAGGGCAGGAAGCAGAAGGCAGAGCAGGAGATAAGGCAGGGAGCACAGACTAAGGAACAGGAAGCACAGCAGTAGATAAGGCAGGGGAAGGAGATAGGCATGGCACTCGGGGAGGGTGCAGGGCTAATTTGTGGCACGCCTGCCAAACAGGATGCCCCTACATTGGTGCAAGTGCACTTGCCCAGAGGTGGAAGAGCTGAGCTTTGGTGTCGTTAGGACAAGAAGTGGAGATGACTAGAATCCAGGACAGGATGTCATCTCCTGGGCTTCGATTTGGCCAAGCCAAAATGCACCAGCAAAACCTGCCGTTGGCTGTTTAGTGACGACATGTAGTGAACTAAGCTTTGCCCCTCACTCAGGCCCAGCACTCAGCACCAGCACAGCCCCTCTTGCCACGCTGGTGCATCACAGGATCCTAGTCACTTGATCCAACCCCTTGCATGAATGCAAGATGCTGCCTAACTCATCCCTGTCCAGTGCTAATCTAGCCTCCTCTTAAACACCTCCAACGAAGGGGACTGCCCCACTTCCCTGGGGGTCTACTCTACTCCCTCACTGCTCTGACAGAAAGGAAATTATTCCTGAGATCTAATCCTAAGCCTGCTTGGTTGCAGTTTACAGCTGTTCTTTCATGTTGCCTTCTGCAGCAGTGGAGAACAGTTGTTCAGAGCTCAGAAGGAAGAGTGCCCCTTGCTGAATCACCAGGCCTTTCTCCCGCAGCTCCCAAGCCCAGCTGCAGAGATCTGACCAGATTAATGTCTGACACGGCAGTGCTGCAGGCAAACGCCATGTTGTGTAGCATGAGGCAAAGGCAGCAAGCACATGCAGAGTGCCTTCTTCCCACCCAGACAACAACGAGCCAAAGAGCTGCAGGTGCATGCCTGAATGCGCAATCACCCAGATACACACACCTTATTTGCACTGGGGAGGCTTCCAAGTGCCCAGGTGCGTGGCACGGAGTGAGCTCCCATTCAAACACACCTGCACTGACTGAAGGGCGCAATCACTTCGGGCTTTATAAAGACTTTTGGAGGACCCTCCCCCTTGGTCAGGATGGAGCTGGGGCAGGTCTCCTGGGAACAGCACCTCATCGCCTCCGTGCTCCCTGGGTCCTGTAATGGAGGATGTGGACTCTGCAGCACAAGTCTGCAGTTTAAATCAGCAATGTCGGGGCTGTATCTGCACAGCCGAGAATGGCATTTTCCCTGCATTTTTAGGTGCTCTTCTAAAGGAGAGGGCTCAAATCCAGGGCTGGAGCAAGGGGGCTACACCCTCCCTGCTGATGGCAGATGTGGGTGCTGGTGATGAGGCCATGCCATGCACAAAGTCCTGCTCAGCGGTGGGTCTCCCAGGTAAACCCCTGAGCAGGTGACTGGGAGGAAGCTGCGTGCATTCATTTTGTCTTCTCCCAGCCATGTTTGTGCTGAGCACCTCCTTGGTCTGGGAGTGACACCGCTACTCAGTCTGCAGTGTATGACACAGTGCCCGCTGTGCCACTGCTGCTATACCCGATCCTAGCCAGCTGATGTCAAACTCCCACTGGCCACTTGCCCTCTGCCCATTCCTGTGCTACCCCTGCCAAAGGCCTTCCACTGTTCTGGCTGAGGAAGACAGGGTCCCCCTCTCCCTTCCCTTGTAGGAAGAGTGGGTGTTAAGCCACTGCTACGAGGTGGACAGAAGAAAACCAGAGGATTTGAAGGCCTGTGACTTGGCCTTGGCAGCCTTGCCTTTGCAGTGCATTACCTCTTACAGACATCGAGTGTTGGCTGTAGCCAGCAAGGGCTCCTGGTTGCTGCTTTGCATGGCTGACTTATGTCTGAGTGCCTAGCACTTGCTCTCCACATGCAGAACCACAGCTGAGCCCTGTGTGATCGTATTGCACCAAGACTGTGTTCTGTGCCCCAACTGCCTTGGTGGGAGGAGACTACCTATGTTGGTTCAAACCCTTCAAGGAAGAAGAGACCCCCTTTTCCATCAGCCTTATGTGGGCAGGTCTCTCTCCCCTTGTCACCTCTCTTGTGTGGTTCTTCTTCAGGAAGACAAGTGGCTGAGACTCTGCTGTGGTCATGTAACATAGCACCCTGCCTTTCCTATACTGCCTCCTCAGCTTAACCCCAACCCCCCGCCCCGTGTTTAAAACATGAATCATCTGATGCAGAGAAACCTTTGTATTGGAACGCTGCCTGCCGTGTCCCCTGTGCATTACACAGATGCTGAGGCGTGCAGCTCTTTAGCATGTTACGCTGAAAGATGGTGTAGTTCAGCAGTTCCAGTGCAGCAGAGAGAAATAAGGTTGCAGGGTCTCTTTCTAGCCACACTGCTGGCTTTTTATTTTGTACTGTGGTAGCTCCTAGAAGTCCCAATCGCTGACTGTGATCTCTAGACACTGCATGACCACAGAATAAATCGATGTTCCTGAAGAGCTTAGATTGATGCAAGGCATGCTGCGTGTACACTGGCAGGCTGCTTTCCACCTCTCTGCTTCAGTTTTCCCACGTGGAAAATGGTGATGAAAGCAATGACCTAGCATTCAGGTGAATCTATTTCTCCAGCATGAGCTGAGTCCTCACCAATGACCTCTGGACAAACCAATGGAACAAACGGTGCCAGACAACAGCAAAATACAAGATGGCCAAGGCCTGCATTTGCAGATTGTCCTCTAGAGTATCTCAGCTCATCTCAAGTGCCAGGCTGGTGTGTTACAGAGCCAGGAATTACAGCCAGAAATGCTAGGCCATTGATAAATGACAGGTGTTAAGAGCTGTATGCTCTCTGCTAGAGCCCTCTCCCCTCCCCACTTCACCTGCCTCACTACCATCTGGTTTTAGCCAGATCTCAAACAACTCAGCCCCTAACTCAAACAGGTGAGAGGGTGTTGATCTGGGTGGAGTGACAATAAGGCAGAGCTGAGGCTTAATGACTGGAAAGCAAATCAGTACCTCATATAAAGGACTGGTGAACAGACTCATTCTTGTATACACTCACAAAAAATTATTCAGATTACCTTTTAATGTGACTTAAGTCAATCAGCCTGGATTCCAGCCATGTGTGGACATGCTTATTCAGAATTAAAGTTATTTAATCCAAGTTATTTTATTTCAATTTGGAAGATGGAATTCAAGCTGACTGAAAATCTGTCCGCACAGGAGTTTAATACCATTTAAACTAATTCACTTTTAAGTACAGCCTTCAATTAACTGGGATTCACTTTCCTAAGCGCCCCTCTATAGATGATCATTAGCAAGGATCCTGGTTTTCTCCCATTAAAAAAAAATCCCCAATTTTCATCTTAAAAAAATAACCCAAAATCCACGTTTCCATTATTAAAATAAAACACTATAGATAGATAGATAGATATAGTGGTGTTTCATTTTGATCATGGAAAAGTGTGGATTTTGGGGTTTTTTAAAATCCAAAAATTGGGGATTTTTTAAAATCAAAGAAAACCAGGATCCCTGATCATTAGGGACCAAAAAAGGCTGTTAGATTTCCTAGCCTTGCTGGACTTTCCATTTCCCTTCATGGCTGAATCAAACTTGGGGGGCATGATGTGTGGAGTCTTGCTTGCTGTTCCCAGGTCACAGAGAACAAAGGGTGTTCATTTTTTTTCTTATGCGTCCAGGCTTTGCAGGTTACCATATGGGGCCAAGAAGGAAGATTTTCACTTTGCATTGCTACAGGTATCAGCATTTGTTTTTGCCTTCCTCAGAAATATTAGGTGCTGGCTGCAGCCAGACTGGGGATTTTTGACTGGGTTGTGCCAATGCTTCTGCTGGGACCAAGGCCGGAGGTTCCAGGCTAGAGGGTCTTGCCCCTCTGCTCGGGGTCAGACCAATCACTACCCTTGATCAGGAAGAAATTTTATCCCACCATTAGATCTACATGGACTGGCGTGGGGTTTGCACCCTGCTCTGCAGCAATGGTGGCATGAAACTCTTCCTTGGATTGTTTGAGAGTATTTTAACTCCTCCTTGTCCTTGCAGAGACACCACACTGACAGTGCCCTTGTTCCCCTGCTTTACCTATAGTAAGTTAGGGTGATGTGTGTGGCATTATGCCTGATAGTGGGTGGCTGGTGAAGTTTTTAAAAATTGATTAGATCGGTGACTCTCAGCCAAGTTGTTAAGGTCCCTTGGGGTGCAGCGAGATCCTTTTAAACACACTGCAGGATGTGGCTCAATATTAGTGCTAGCAGGTGATACGCGTGATTCACATGATAAACTCAGAGATTTCAAATAGGAACCCAGAGTGTCAAAACCATTCTGACCTGGTGTGATCCTTCTCAGTTCTTTGCTACAGAGGAATTGCTCTCTCATTTTTCTGTAGTCAAAAATGAAATGAAAGCTAAGAGCTGGCATTTTCCAGGGGGGACGCTCTGTGTCTAATGGGTCTGAGAACCACTGGGTTAGAAAAACACTTGTTTAAGTTTGGTTTAGAAAGGGATTATCTTGCCTTGAAATTCAGGTGTGACCTTCTGAGGCTCCATCCAGCCCTCATTTTCTATGATTCTGTGATCCCTTCTATTGGGGTAAGTTAGAGGGGTAAGCAGGTCAATGCGTGTGGATCTTTTAAATGAGGTTTCAAGATCAGAGGTTTTCACTGATCTGGATGGACCTCAAAGAACTTCTGGTCAGATGGGAGGTTTGCCGCAGTGCCCTTGCTCAGGATTTTTCCCCCTTCCTTCTTACGCAGACTCCTCCACAGCTGTTGCCTCTATTCAGAAGCAGCTGCATTTTGGAGGCGCTATTTAACTTTACCTATACAGCACTTTGAGACTGTGCCATCCGCTCTAAGTGTAACAACCCTCCATTATAATTAAGCGTTTAGCTGAGACTCTTTACAAGCATCAATCTGTAAAGGAACATAGGTCTTACAATAGAATCACTCACTTGGGAGATATGAACTCCCCCCCTGCATGCTTTCCTGTCAGACGTTGGGCAAGTCATTCAACTTTTCTGTGCCTCAGTTCCCCCACCCCCCAGAACTGTAAAATGACCTACCTCACTGTGGGAGGCTGAGTTCATTAGCAGCTGTAACATGCCTTGAAATTCCCCAATGAGAAGCACTACAGATGTGAACTAGTACGTGTTGGGAAACAATATGCTAGTTTAACGAGACTGGCACAAGAAGTGTGGGTGTGGGTCCAGTGCACTGTGCTGCAGATGTTATGAATAAACAGAAATGTTTCTGCAAATGCCACCCTCTCCCTTCCCCTCCACTTGTTGATCTGTTCCGAACGGTTCGTGTAAGACCCACAATGGTGCTGCTGCCTGACTTTCTGGCTGACTACATGGAAAGCCCATATGTTAATGTAGCACTCAATCGTGGTTAATACTCACAAGGACATCAGTATTTTCAAAATAGTTCCTCCAGTACGGCCGGATCTTCCTTTGTCCGCCTATGTCCCAGACGTTCAGCTTGAAGCCTTGGGACTGTACGCTTTTAATGTTAAAGCCCTACAAGAGAAGCCACAGGCAGCATTACCCTGGATCTTGGGATCATGTTCAGGAGAGTATGGCTTTAACACCATTATCACGGTGCAGGAAAGAGGCACAGGATGGGCCTGGGCTGCTATTCAGCTGCAGAAGAGGTGAGAGGGAGAGCAAACGAGATTCTTGTGCATGTCTGTGTGCATACACTCTGGGATCAGAGGCTGACATTGTCATGGCTACAAAGATGAATGTTGCAGTGGGGGCCTCTGGAGGGTTCAGGAGGGTGGGTGCAGGAAGAGGTGAGAGAGGGAGATGTGAGATAAGGAGGAAAACAGAGGGCGCACTGAGAAGCAGCATGCAGCGCGGTCTCACGCAGAGCCAGAGGTCGGAGGCTTAGTCGACACCAGGCAGCGACGCACTGAGCTTAAAAGAGCAACAGCTGCGCGGCTGAAGGGTCCGTTTCATCAATTAATGCTGCGACTGAAAGGGCGTTCAACTGGAAAAACAGGATGTGGTGTGGGCTGGCAACGTGCTGCCACCCAGCCTGGGGGAGCGGGGCTTGGAATCTGAGTGTGGGCTATTCGCTCTGGGGTGCTGGGGGCTGGGAGCGTCAGGGGGGTGGGGAGGGGAGAGGAGTATCTCGTGCAGCTCTCGAGCAGCCTCCGCTGGCCAGCTTGGGCACCGTGCTGGTGGTATGTGCGACCGCTGCTCCAGTGAGAAGGCTAAAAGCAGGGCAGTTCACGGCAACAAGGATGGAGGGCCAAGTTCCTGGGACTCCCCGGGAGAAAGGGGTGAGGGACAACTGGCCAGAAGCTGTGACACATCCCATCAGCTGCTTGTGTTTTTATGAAGGCCAACAGGGTCAGACTCTGATCTGTGTTATACCGGGGCCAGAGCAACTCTGCAGGCGTCTAGGGTGCTTGTCCTGTGTATTTGATTCCAGAACCGGGCCCACAGCTCATGTCCCTGATGGTGACCATGGGCTGTACCCATCATCCTGTTCACATCCTGCTATAAATGCTGGACTGAGCTGCATCTATCCCGACATCTAATCCAGTCCCCACATTCAGCCCATCGCATTTCCCTGGCACACCTTTTCTTTGCCCATTTACCATGGTGCATAGGACACAGCAAGGTGGAGGAGCAGCTTCCCATCTGGGCAGGGCCTGTCTTACCTGTGTCGGTGTGATGTGGCTGATGTCTTCGGACGCCAGCTGTTTCAGAAGCGTGGTCTTGCCAGCATTGTCCAGCCCCAGGAGAAGGATCCTTACCTCCTGGTCTGGCGCGCTCTTCAGTTTGCGCAGGATTGACAGTAAACCCTATGGCAGACAGAAAGACCACAGGTGTTAATGCTGTGCTAAGATGCCCTCCTGTTGGCCCCCGAGTCTGGGTTGGGACCCAAAGACTGCTGCATCCTTTCATCCCTCTGTTCCCCCTGTTCTTGTCTCTTCCTGCATCTCCATCACATGCAGTGTGGGGAGCTGCCTGGGCTTTCCCAGGGCTGTGTTGTTCCGGTCCAATAGCCTACTCCCAGGGTCAGAGAGTCAGTGTCCCTGGGATGTGGTACACTAATGACCTGCAGCCAGGCTACCGGGTGATCTGTGCTGTCTTTCCCATCAGCAAAACCCTGTTAATCCAAATCTCCCTCTTAGCTGGCTCTACCTTACTTTGCGCCCTGGCATGGTTCCCTTACCAGTAGCCTCTCCCCCACCATCCGATTATCTCCAACTTCATTTATCAGTCTCCTAAGCATGCTGGACAAATGAGACTGGTGCAATTCTGGGCTCTCAGGACTCAGTAGCTAATGGCACCCTTTCGATCCCTGAACCCCCTTGACTAGGAAATGCACCACAGACTCAAGCTGCTGACTATATCAGCCAGAGTTCACGAATGGACTATCTGTGTCAGTCGACTTGCACTGCAAACCACTGGAAAATAAACTGGGCTGTGTGCATGGCCCAAAGCAGAGCTCAGATGCCTGTACTGCAAGGAAAGGGCATCAACTGGAAAAGCCTCCTGCATGCTGCCATGCAGTTGTAAATCACTCGTTGCCTTCATTCAGTTCAGGGGGTCTGGGACTAATGCAGCTGCTCCACAGAGAGGCAATGGAGCCAGTGGACTCTGAGTCAAATACTCCACTGCTGACCTCATGAGTAAGGACCTACTTAATTCACGATTTGACGGTTTTTGCACAAACCATGAAAATCAGTGGTATCTACTGAGAAATATTCCACTGATTGCAATTTCCTGCAAAATCAACCTAACCCTCCACAACCATGTAATACGCTGTTTTACAATCTCCCAATCCTTACTGCGATACTTAGACAATGCAGTAATCCCTGCAGCCACTCTCAGGTGCTTGAAACTCACTGACTGTCTGCGGCGATGACAGGGCCTCTCTGCCAATCTGTGGCGACAGTGGGGCTGCCGGGGAATGCCTGCAAAATTGGGCCTTCATGCTGCGAGCAACCCACGAACATGGCTTCGTCTCACCACAAGTTAAGTAGGCTCCTACTCATGACTGGCCTTGGGCTAGTCCCTTTACCCCTCTCAGCCCAAGGTCCCCTCCTACCCCATCTCCAACTCGACTGTTTTGGATTTAAATTCTTCCAGGCAGAGGGAGATTTTTGCTCTGTGTGTGGGGCACCCACCACGGCGGAGCCCAGGAACAGAGCATGGCTGATGCCAACACATCCTTTCTGGGGCTTCTGCATTCCCTTCCAAGCCAAGTCGCATCCAGTCCAGCTCTACTGGGCATGTGTTCCCACCATGAACCACCGCCACAGCCACCGCTTGGCAGCTGCGCACGACCCAAAGTTCAGACCACTGAAGAAAACTGGAGTCTGCAACTCGGAGTTCAAATACCAATACTGCCCCAGACTTCTCTGGTCACGTGGACCTAGACCTCCCCAACTGTACAACAGGGACAAAGCTACTGGCCTACCTCATAATGTGGGGAAGAGGATGACTGAGTTGTGAGTTGTAAAGTGCTTTGAGGATGGGAAGAGCTATAAGCTGTAAATATTTTTTACAATGGGGAGTAGTAGATATGCTGGAGGGTAGGGCTAGGATTTGGAGAGACCTTGACAAATTGGAGGATCGGACCAAAAGGAAATCTCATGAGGTTCAATAAGGACAAGTGCAAAGTCCTGCATTGAGAAGGGAACAATCCCAGGCACCGGTGCAGGCTGAGGGTGACTGGCTAGGCAGCAGCCCTGCAGAAAAGGACCAGGGGGACTGGGGACATTAACTGAATAGGAGCCAGCAGCATGCCCTTGTTGCCAAGAAGGCGACTGGCATCGTGGGCGGCATCGGTAGAAGTGTTGCCAGCAGATCAAGGGCAGTGATTCTTCCCCTCTATTCGGCACTGGGGAGGCCACATCTGGAGTCCTGTGTCCAGCTGTGGACCCCCACTACAGAAAGGATGTGGACACATTGGAGTGAGTCCAGCGGAGGGCAGTGAAAATGGTCGTAGGGCTGGGGGACAGAACTGGTGGGGAGAGGCTGAGGGAACTGGGCTGATTTAGTCTGGAGAAGAGAAGACCGAGGGGGAACACTGCCTGGGGCAACAAGAACTCTGCCCTGCTGCTTTCCTGGCAGCCCGGTTCTGAGGGAAAAGGGCTTTGAGGTGCAGCAGAGCTAATTGTCTAGTGCAAAACTGCTCTGCTCTGTCAGGTGGCTGATCCACTGCAGGAGTACAGGCTCCAGGTTACCTCTTTCAGCACACCCTGCTCCACACAAGGGTGGCATTGATAGACTCGGAGGAAACCGCATGGCACAGATAGCCTTGACTAAGCTGCTAATAACGCTGGGAGGACAAAGCTGTGTTTGAACACTTCCTCTAGCCGCTCCTGCTCGGGGAATTCTGTTATGGCAAATCCATCTCGCCGATGGACAGCCCAAACAACAAACCAACGTCTGCCGGCCTTGGAGCAGGGAGCTTCTTCCAACAAACTTGCTTATAAAACCATCGGTCACAACCCCAGGCTTTTAAAGACTGCTCATGTGATGGTAGAGCTGAGGAATCCAGCACTTGGGGCTGGAAATGCAATGGCAGGATTGAATCTCATGGTCAGCCCTGCTTGCTTGGGCTTTCGTTCTGCCTACCTCTATCATCAGTAGCCTGTCAATCTAGCTGAAATGCCTATACCAGTGGTTGTCAAGCTTTTTAGCCTAAAGGCAACCTCTGTAATTTTTTGGGACTGGAGCTGAGAACAACAGAGCTAGAATCTAGCTGGTACCAGGTATGGGCAGTGGAGGCAAGACTTCACCCCACCGTGCCCTGCTTTTTCCACCGTCTGCCCCCTCCCTGCCCCCAGTCTGTATCTAAGGGGACAAGCGGGTCCCCACCAGTACAGCTGCTCCACCAGTGACCTACATGTCAGCGACTGAAACCACATGCATCCAAACACTTCCCAACAGCCCTGAGTATGAGAGGAGCTGGGCTAAAATTTCCAGCTGAGTGACTCCATAGCCACCTGCCTGTGCAAACGCCCATGGTGGAACGCGCTGCTGGGGGGAGATGGGAAGCAGCTACAAGTGCACCCTCCAAGGGAGGAATGATTGCTTACCCCCTGGCACAGGGGCCTTCCACCTTTGGAAGGATTGTGCGATATCCCAGTTGAAAACCACTGACCTAGACCTTCGTGATGTTATGTGTTATTATGGTAGTGCCATGAGATACTGCTTGGGAACAGGCTGCTTTTTACTGAGTGCTGTGCAAACAGTGTAAGGCACGGTGGAAGCCCCTAAGAGTTTACCGCTGGAGATGAGCAATGAGAGAGGGTGCAAGATGGGGGCAATCAGACACATACTCCCCTGCTTATTTGCTCAGGTGTAAATTCCAGCAGCTTGACATTTTTTTAAATATGATTTCTGGGGGGCTTTCTGCACTAGAATTTACTGTCATGACACTCAGCTTGTTAATACGCAGCTTGAAATAACGCGTGCATACACCCCAAATTAATAGGCGCCTTCTGACATGCACAAATTCTGCTTCTTTTTCCAGGGCTACGCAGCTGAACAGAGATGCAGCGAAACTCCCTATTGTTTTATCTTTATGGGCATAATCCAAAAACCAGTCCAAGTCAACGAAAGTATTTCCATTGACTTCAGGGGGCTTTGAATCAAGCCCTATTATTTTAGGTTAGTGCTCCCAGTAAAAGGCTGATGAAATGCTAATCCTATTCGCAGCAGTGTTTGCTAAGAGTAGAACAATACATCCCCTGAGCAGATCGGGATTAGAAACCTTTATGACTCTAAATTCAACTACAAAATTCTGAATGTGCAAAGGGCCGTGTTGCAAAGACTCATTTATCTGCCATTGAACAAGTCTCAGGGGCAGGAAAGAGCAACAGTGGCAGACGTTAGGAGATCCCCTCTTATTACATGATGATGATATTGCAGAGCAAGTACAACTGCCTACAAGGAAACGACCGCTGCCGTTCCGTGTGCTATTCAAGTGACACCCTGGCTGCACAGTTGATCACAGGATTATCTGGGTTAGCCAATAGAAAAGGAGATATTTATAGAAATAAAAGTATTCTCTAAGGTATAAGGTAAGCTGATTTAGAAGGCTGGAAGAAAAGCAAACTGGGATCTAGACAGACTCTCCTTCAGCAGCTCCGGGGGCATTCGCATTACGCAATTCATGCCTGGAGTTCAAATGCAATCCAGTTTAACTTGAAACACACAATAATTTAGGCTCCTGGTTACACCTGATTCTAGTCATATAGTAGCAAAAGCCTCACTCTGTAAAAGCAGCAGGGTGTTTTCTCTCGTTTTAAATTTGGCCTTATAAACATCCAAGCAGCTGAGCGACGAAGGCATTAATTGCTCCTTGATGGCTTAGCAAACTAGAGAAGTAACTCAATTAATTTCCTGGCTGCGTGGCTGCGCTATACAACGCATGGCAACCTATACTACACACATGCTGAGGGACTGATTTTTTTTTTTTTTTACTGGCAAACAAAACATTTTAAATTCACTTTTGAATGGGAAAGCCATAAACGTGGGCAGTAAAGAGTAGGGTTACACATATTCCAGAGGAGAGGGCAAGATCACAGGTACTGCAGAACAAACCTGCTGTGAAGGATTATTTATTCATTCCCTATATTACTGCAGTGCCCAGAGCCCTAGTTGCAGACCCCACTGCACTGACATGGTGCAAACGCAGAGCTTACAGTTATAGTTCAAGGCTTTGTCTATGTTACAAAGCTGTGCCATCCTCGCTGAATCAGCCAAGGGTATGGAAAGATCAGGCGCACACCCGGCCAATTTACCCTGCCTGGAAAACACGCAGCCTTCTTGCTGCCAGATACAGCTGTGCTAAGAGAAAGGGGACTCTGTTGGCTTAGCTTCTGGCATTCGGGGAGGCGGTGTAGTTAGACCAATGGCAAAACCCCTCCTGTTGCCATATGGCAGGACTCTGGTAGGAGGCTCTGTGGATATAGCTCTCCTGGCAAAGCTGCAATGGCAGCAGCCTGGTGATGTACGCAAGCCTCGAGTCAGAAGATGGAAACAGCTCAAGGGTGAAGCATGAGGAACCAACATGGGTCAGCAGGACAGGCCCTGGTTTCCATATGTCAGCAGGAGGGGTGTGAAGGAGAACAGTGAAGTGGCTTGGCTTTATGTCTGTAAGGAGCTTCTCCCGGGTATGAAAGAAAGCACCGATGTTTTTGTTTAAAGGCTGGCGTCATGGGCTGACTGGAGGTGGG